AACGTTGGAAAAACGTTGATATGAGATTGAGAGATTGATTGGTTGGTTAAAATGGGTCATATGATAAAAACAGGGATGTGCCCGAATATAAGCATCAAGCATAGGGATGTTAAGATGAGTTTATTTTCGTGGGTTTTAAATGGGTTCTGGAAAAAATAAATGCCTATTTAGACCCATTTAACTAGTTGAGTTTTAAATGGGTAACCCTATTAAGACCTATTTATTAAATGGGTTTTGTCTAAAATAATTGGGGACCCGTTTAACCCATTTATATTTTTTAGTAACTTAAATTTAGTCCATTTGTTTTTTTTTCACACATTTTTATCGCGTTTCCCGTTAATACTGAAAATAGTTTTTTTCCCACCAAAACCGAAAATAAAAATAAATTGAGATTTTCTACCAAAATTGAAAATCGAGATTTGCCGCCAAAACCAAAATTGAGATTTTACGCCAAAAAAGTCATTTCTCGGTTTTGGCGGGAAAGCGTAATTTCTCAGTTTTGGTGGGAAAACGTAATTTCTCGGTTTTGGCGGGAAAACGTAATTTCTCGGTTTTGCCGGGAAAACGTAATTTCTCGGTATTAAAGTTGAGGGCCAACAACTTTAAAAAAAGTTTTGGGACCACATTTAAAAAATAATAAGGTACTCGAGATTGTTGATATTGGGAGCCAATCAACCATCTGGTGATTAGTGGATTAGCCCTAGATAAACCCGAATTTAATAAAGTTGACGCTTTATAGGCCGAGCAAAAGCAGAGAACGCTTGCTCTGTTCACATTGCGGTTGCTCGGGACACGAGAAAGCTTTCTGCTGGAATCTAAAAGGGTATCTTGAGTGGGTAACCGAGCGAAACGCTCGTAATGGTGAAAGAGGAAGCAGTCACAGTGGTCGTGATGGCTCGGGGTCTGTTGCAGGTTGCGGAAAAGCCTTGGCGAATATTGCTCAGGCTACTTCTTCTCATTCCTAGGTCTTTCCAGAACTCACTGCCGGTCAATGGAAGGCAACCAGTTTGCTTGCTCTAGAAAAAACTGAGTATGCAACAAAAGACAAACTTTCCGGTAAGTTCTCAGGTGACATTATTATCGACACCGGCGCTTCCCATCACATGACAGGAGATCTATCTTTACTTGTTGATCTTATTGATCTTGTTGATACACCTCAGTGTTTAGTGGGTTTTGCAGATGGAAGTATAACATATTCTGTCCGTAAAGGAGTATTACCTATCGCCGATACCGTCTCGCTTATTAACGTTTGTTACGTTCCAGATCTCAATTGTTCATTGATTTCTGTGTCTAAACTTCTTAAGCAACTGAAGAATTGTGTTGCGATGTTTACTGAAACTTTGTGTATTGTCCAGGACCGTTTCATGAGAACCCTAATTGGAACCCGGTGAAGAACATGACGAAGTGTATTATCTAACAGATGTAGCTACTGTTTGAGCTAACAGAGTTGAAGTAGTTTCTGACCAGACTTTGTGGCATCAACGGTTGGGACATCCAGCGTTTTCTGTGTTTTCATTTTTGCCTTTTTATTATGTTTTAAAATCGTCTAACCCAGGTCCTTGTGACGTATGTTTCCGGGCTAAATAGACAAGAGAAGTTTTTAATGATAGTTTTAATAAAACTAAAACAGAGTTTGAGTTGATACATGTTGATGTCTGGGGACCATACCGCATTCCATCCACGTGTGGTGCTGTTTACTTTTTCACAATCGTCGATGATTTCTCTTGCAAAGTATGGCTTCATCTTCTCTTGGAAAAATCAGAAGTACGACAAGTTCTGCAAAACTTCTGTGCATATACTAAGAATCAGTTTGGTCTCAGCATCAAATCGGTTCGCAGCGACAATGGTACTGAATTCATGTGTTTAGGTTCCTTCTTTCAACAACACGGCATTATCCATCAGACATTTTGTGTTGGAACACCACAGCAGAATGGTCGTGTGGAATGAAAACACAGACATATTCTCAATGTCGCTCGTTCTCTTCTGTTCCAAGCAGGATTACCCACTAAATTTTTGGGAGAAGCTATATTGACTGCAGCTCACGTTATCAATCTTACACCAACAAAGGTTCTTAACGGTCTTACTCCACACGAGGTTCTTTTTGGGAAGAAGCCAACCTAAGACCATTTGCGAGTATTTGGTTCAGCTTGTTTCACGCATCTCCGAGCTCGCGACAAAGATAAGTTTGGGCGCGCAGTCGAAATTGTGTGTTCTTGGGATATCCCTTTGGGAAGAAAGGATGGAAAGTCTATGATTTAGCCTCACCTTTCTTGCGCAACCAGAAGATTCCTCGACGGTTACTAGTCCAGTTTCTGTCTCTACTGAGGAACATGCCTCTGCCGATGAGACAGCCATTGTACTACCGTCTGAATATTCAGAGATTGTACCTGTTGATGGGTCTCATGATATTATTGATGTTACTTTCAACCCTATTACTGAAGTTGTTTCTGATTCCACTCCGGTTCAGATCTTAGACTGTGGCCAACGATCAAGACGACCGCCTAAGAAACTCGAAGATTATATGCTATGCAACATCCGCTGCATTGATAATACACTCCCTGATCCTACTCTCACCGACTCGTCAGACTTGTCCTTTACGTTCTCAGGTAACACTCCTTACTTACTTGAACATTTTATGTCAAATGATGTGTTCTCTCCAGGACATCAGGCTTTCTTGGCCGCTATTCTCGCTGGAGTTGAACCTAAGAGTTACAAAGCAGCATTACAGGACAAGATATGGCGAGATGCTATGGTCTGCAAAGTTGACGCTTTTGAGAAAAATAAAAGTGTCTGATTAAACCGCGAAATATTAAATTCGGATTTATTATGGGTTCCAACTTAAAATCAATTGGTGATTAGTGGATTGCTCATAACCCTTTATATATTACTCAATGTTCGGAAACTCGCTAGGCGCTACGCGTTCGGTCGGACAGCGCCTAGCGCCTAATCAATTAAACGGGAATTATACGGGGATTAATCGGGGAGTTATTTTAGGGCTTTCAAATAAATATAACGGTTATAAATAAAATATGTTGAGTATTTCTGTACTGGAAGCGTAGTCCAGTGGTTACGGTTGCTTATTATGTTGACATGAACCCAGGTTTGAGCCTCGTATTCTCCATTTTGAACAATATTTTTAATATTAGGTTAAATAAATAGTAAATGACAAAACCACCCTCGTCTTCTACCTTTTTCCCTGCGAAATCTGTAGCCGCTTTTTCTAATTTTTTTTTTTCGCGATTTCTGTATTCTTTCATGCTAATCTTGTGAGTTTGGTTTTTAATAATACAAATCTATAACTTAACATGTGAGATCGAGTCTCAAAACTATAAAATGATGAACTTAAAAAAATTTCCCGATTAACTGAGCGATTTGAAGCAAATCGCGACGGTCACCGGCCAATTTACGCTTTTCCGGCGTCTACTCGGCCGTGTTGTACGCGTTTTAGAACAAGGATATTACTTAAGTTCCCTTTGATTTCCCGATGTGGGATATATTATCCCTAATATCCCTCATCGAGATGATGGCTTTTATTGACCAGAAATCTCGAAACATTAAGACAAGTTATACTCGGTCGAGTGAATCAAATACGACAATTATACCTAGTCAGAAGGTTAAACACAACCTATATACCCGGTCGGAATTGTACCATTTTTGTTTCAGAATTTAAAAGGGTATTGTTACTTATCATTTGGCTAGTGAATTAAAGAGGTTAAAGACAAGAGAAAGGATTTTTTAAACATGTTAAAAAAATATAACCCTTTATAAATCTGGGTTTTATGATATTGTGATAATACATCTCAACCATTTATAAGATTTTATAAAGAAATTTTTGAACAAAAATTAATCATTTTTATTCTTAAAACAACATATAAATCATACATTAAACCAAATTATATATCATACATAAAACCAAAACTATGTTATCATACATAAAATCGTATACCTTAAATCTAAACTTCAAACTTTATATTCTCCATAATCCAAACCCTAAATGATAATATTAAATTTAATTTATTTCAAAATTAATTAAAAAATTGAACATAAATCTTAAACATATATATCATATCCTAAATACTAAAACTTATACCCTCAATTATACACATAATGTTTAAACTTTAATTTTTATTTATTTTATTTATTTATTATACCATTATGTTATATGAATTTTATTTGAATGTAGTCTCTAGGAACTAAAATTTTAATGTAAAATTGAACAAATAATATAATTTCTAATTCACATAAATCTTAACCTAAAATTTAGTTAAACATCGTATTGACAATCAAAATTTAATATATTGAACACAAGTCCTAACTCTCTACCTTGGATTCATTAACCACTAGACTACATGTAGATCTCTTAAAATTAGTGGCCGCTAATTTAGTTAAACTAATAAAGACAAGATGTTCAGTTCTTAGTTTCTTTTGAGGGCCGCCTCAGAACATAGTCCAAATCAAGAAACCCAATAAAAATGTAAAAAAAAAAACAAAATTTGGAACATTAAATATTTGAAATATAATTAGTTAAACTATAAATAAAACTTATACAAATTTAAGTAGACTAATATAGCTTCTAAGGTACAAACATAGATAGAGGAGGATATGCTGGAGTCCAGGCAGCAGATGGACCTTACAATTACAGATTTAATTTACAGATCACCATGCTAGATCCCATTTTCTAAATTTGCCAACTGTAATTGCAATATAAGTGCCAGCCGCTAAATATTTTTTTTAATTGCGTATGTGACCTTTTCACCCTTTCAACTCTGAACCTGAACCTGTTTTGGAAATTTAAAATCAATAATGCTAAAGTTAGATTCATACTCCATACAAGATATATTATATATAACAAAAGAAAAGCGTGTGTCGAATTGGATTTATGTAATCGCTACCGGATTACTATTTTTAACGGAACTTGCGGACCAGCCAACATAATCGGTTCTGGCACGAACAGGTAAAAATAGACAAGGGAAAATAGAAAGGGGCAGTTACATCTTTAGATGAAAAGCAAAGGTGACAAGAAAATTATCCTTAGTATAATACGTAGAGAGCTTCTTAAAAATCAGAGAAACCAACAAAAAAAAAAAAAAGCTGGAGAACTAAGAACAAGGAAGAAGAGCCTCCAGAATCTTCATCTCAAGTAAGAATCATCATTAATCAAATATATACGAATAATCAAATATATATATATATATATATATATATATATATATATATATGTTCGTTTCAGATTTTTTAGACGTGAAATCTGCAACTTTTTTTTTCATTTTTCATACTCGTTATTACGTTTGTTTGATATTTTCTTGAGGATAATAGAACTAGGGAAATACGTAAACCATGTGTTAAAAGTTAAAACAAAGGTCAATATACATTACATGGTTATAACATATATTATGTGTTATTATCAAAAAAAAAACATATATTATGTGTTTATGCAAAAAAAAAAAACATATATTATGTATAGATATAGATACATTTGTTTCCGTCATGTTCCTCTAATTTGTTTTTTTTTTTTGACTGCAGGATTAATATTAATTACACAAAAAAAGATATGGGTTACTGGAAATCGAAGATTGTTCCAACAATGAAGAAATTGTTTGAGAGAAGCCCAACAAACAAGGATGTTGTCGCTGAGGCTAGCAAGACCCCAGCCTTTGATGAGTCTAAGGTATTTAGATCTATAAATTGTAATTACATTCATACACGTGTGCTTTTATTCCGATTTCTAAATTTATTTGTGTCGTCTATTAATAGGAAGCAATCAACAAGGAGGTTGAGGAGAAAAAGACAGAGCTGGAACCCAAGGTCTTGGAAATCTATGAAGCCACGTCTGCTGAACTCAAGGTGCTTAATTAATGATCTTTAAAATTCATTCTACAAACACTAGCGATTAGCTTTTATTTACTCGAATTACTTTTTATATTTGTAGGCTTTGGTGAGGGAGCCTAAAGAAGATGGTTTAACGAAACACTCTGCCGAAGTGCAGAAATTCCTCGAGGCACTTGTTGAAATTGGTACGTACTTTTAATTTTTGCTAAAACCGGATTAGCTAGCAACTAATTCTCTACATAATATATTTCATTTGGGAAGAGTAATTCGAATTATCTGAATTATTGCATGTAATTACTCGATCCCATACCCAAAATGAACAATCCAAAAGATCACGATAAAAAAGTTTATAATATGAGTAAATAATCTTTTAATGTGAATGTAAATTCAGGATTCCCTGGATCAAAGGATGCATGTGAACTTTTATCTACTAGCCCCGGACCAGTGACGTTCATATTTGAGAAGGTATGTGGCTTTCTCCCGGTGGAGGAGAAGTCACGAGAGGTGGAAAATGTGGAAGAAGTCGCCAAAACTGAAGAACCATCCAAAGAAGATGATATTACAACCGCCGAGAAAGAGAAAGAAACAGTTGAAGAGAAGAAAGAAGAGGCTCTACCAGCAATTGTTCCCGTCGTGGCGGTTGTGGAGGAGAAGGCGCCAGCCGTGGAAGAGGAAAAGAAGGAAGCGGTGGAAGAGGAGAAGAAGCCAGTGGAAGAGGTGAACAAGGAAGTTGTTGCCGCAGCACCTGTGGCTGAAACTCCGTCGACCACGGTCACAGCAGCTCCGGTGGTTGAAACTCCGTCGACCACGGTCACAGCAGCTCCGGTGGTTGAAACTCCGGCAAAGGCCCCCGAAACCGTGGCGGCTGAGCCAGCAAAGGTTTAAAATATTCTAAATGGTACATTTCTTTTATGAAAAAACATTGCTTGTTTTGTGTTGATATTATTTGGTTTTTAAATTTATTTATAATGTGGATATTATATGTATTAATTTGCTTGTTTGAGTTGTATATTTGAAGATCCAATATGTTTTCTACCAATTTTCATTAAACTAATTTAATTCTTTAAATTTACATTATTTGTTCTGAAATGTAAGATGTTTTTTTAAAAAACTGATGTTCTAATAAACAAGATGTTCTCATACTTTTAGATAAACTTTTACTTTTTCCAAAACTGTGTAATCAATCATATTTTGTAATTGGTTCAATAACTTTTAATTTATAGATTTAATAATTAATATTTTAATGCAAAAATGTAACTTCTTTTTAATGTGTGTGTAACCCTAAAACATCTTATATTTAGAAACGATTTCTAAAAGTAAAACTCAATTTTAGTTTTAAATTCTTGTTTTTAGTATTCAGTTTTATGGTTTTTATATCTATTTTAATCACATGATGTGTGAGTAACCCTGAAAATGTGTTAACAATGAGTGTCCAATGACTCATTAGATCATTTAAACCATACCTCAACATATACAAAGTTGAAAACTGCGCCATAAATCTAGATTGAGTTGTCTCACTAAAAGAGGTATGCCTCACAAAAATACTATCATATCGTCTATAACTATGCATCTGCAAATCCGGATCTCACTCAAGTAAGTACCACAAAAGTTGTCAGTGACTTGACACCGACATAAGTGTGATTTTGGAGAAACAAATTTTGCACGGGTAAGTTTCAGTAGATTTATACAGAAATCACAAGCCAAAAAAAAAGGGAAGCTGTTCTGTTTTTCTTTTAAAATCATACATCATGCATAAAAGCTGACTCTCAGATTCTTCGCAGTGAAGCCAACCTCTTCTCAAGCTCATCCACTTCACTTGATTCAGAACTGCAAGTTTTGAAACAGTTTTCTTAGTTTTTCTTCACTAGAATTGATAATGACCAAACATGAGCTCAGGCATTTTTACCTGTTGGTAGTAGTTGCAGGAGGAGCTGCGGTTTTATTAGCGATCCGACCCTTTGGAGCTGAAGATAACTGTTTAAAACAAATGAAACAGAGACAGACACATTGTTTAGTTTTTGACTATAAACCTGAGACAAAAATAAAAGAAAGAAACCTGACCTGAGATGCAACACCAACACCAATCTCATCAAGAACTTGGTTAGTAAGGTCTTCTGTTTCTTCTTCAGCCTCATCTTTGTCAAGTGTTTCATCAATTGCCTCTGACATCATCTCTATCTGCAACACACAAAATATAAAAAAAAAAAAATCTTCTAAGTAACATTTGATTGTCTAAAAGAATATCAAGAGATGTATTTGTTTTTACCGTCATGTCTAGCTGTGCCGACTGTTTCTGGAAGTCCTTAATCACTTTGGCTTGTTTGGTTGGTTCCATTTGCTGAAAATATAAAGTTTAGCGTTATAAAATAAACAATATAACAGCTTAGTACTGAGCATTAGAACCAAACTAACATTACCTTGTTCATTGCAACCATAGCTTTGGTTGCACCTTTCATACCAGAAGAGATCGAAGTGCTTGCATACAGAGCCTAACCGAAAGAGAAATTGATTATTATAAAACCAAACTATTTGTTTAGATGATGCTGAAGTTATAGAGGAAGTAAACCTAACCTGTGTGTGAGTCGTTACACCTCTGATTTGAGCACGGCTTCCTTGTAAGTTTGTAATCTGTTGCCTCAATCTAACAAGTTGACGTGCTAAGATCTTTGTCGCCGCCTATCCAAACATGTTTTAATAAAGAATCAATAGTAAAGAAACAAACTTAGAAGAGAAGAACATAAGGCTGGTAAGAGCCAATCTACTTGCCTCGTTACCAGTTTTAGCAGTTTTCTTGATTTCTGCAACTAATCTCTTCTCCTATATTGTGAATTAACAATGTCAATAGAACCGTAAGAATACTTATGTCCATGATATATGTTATTTTACCTCCAGCTGAAGAGATGAAATCTCTCGTTCAATACCTGCAACGCCATTGGAATACTTTTAAAACATTGAGCTCAAAAGGTTAGTTTTTTCTGGCTTATTGGTTTGTTTAGAACACATAACAGAGAGCTTAAGAAAGAGCTTGTAAACTCTAGCAACAGTAGAAAGGCCAGTGAATAATCAGAACGCATCCTCGAGTTCAATCACCCAAGAGTTTACTAGCAGCAATGAAGTTATATTTTGTCACAACTTTCAATTTATTTTGTCAACACAACCCAAATTTAGATTTAAAAACAGATTGAAACCTACACAATTGAGTTCTTTTTCTAGCAGCATTGAACTTATGGTTTAGATTTAGATTCTCTAAGAGGTTGGTGGAATCAATACATACCTCTTGTTGCCACAGACATTTCTCTCTTACTGGTGCGAAGAGCATCTGCAGTAATCAGATAAATCAAAACAAGTATTGCAAGATTCATCAACAAAAGAAAACCAAAAAACAGAAACGACAAAATTTGGGAAACTTACTAGTTTCCTTTTTTCGAGCTCTCAAAAAAAAAATATCCATCTAACTTAAGGAATCATATACACAATTTTATGGAAAACAAGAACCCATCAAAATTCACACATACCCACACCCAAAGATTCAATTTTGACCACGAATGCAGATTCAATTAAAGGTGCAAACTTTATGCAGATCAAGTTTGTTCCTCAACAGAAAGTATATACCATTCTTTGCAATTTAACAGATAGATGCAGAAGACGTTTCCAGACAAAATCCAGAAAACAACAAGTTGAGAGCAGCAATGGTATTCGAAGTTTTGAGCTTTTTTTACCTTTGGGAGTAGTCTTCTTCTTGAAAATGTTCATGGTGATTAATCTTCTCACACTTCTCCTCGTGTTTATGAAAAACCCTAAATCAGAGAACAATGATTTGGAGAGATGAGGGAAAAGCAATAAGTTTTTATGATTTTTTTCGTACTCTCTCTTTCTCTCTAAATATGTTTGTGGGTGTGAATGTGTATGGAAGAGCGTGCTCAGCTTGATATAATAAGCAAACGGTACTTTGGAACTAGCCGTTACAGTGTTCAGATCTACCTAATATTCCTTCTTTATCCACCGTTATTGTTTCTTTTTGTATGTTATGGAACCGACAAAGACTGACTAGTCTAGAAACTAATTGATGTGATAATGCTAAAAGAATGGAACAAATGTACTTAGACAAATTGTATAACCAGAAAAGATGTATTAGGCCGATTGTTTTAACGGGTTATTTTTTGTGATACATCAATAATGATTATAATGTGGCTTATGAAACGAATAGAAACCATATTATAGTAGGCAGGGCAGGGCGTATACTAATCTGAAACTGCAGCTGATCAGAGCCGTATTACAGTTAGAACTTATTCCAGTTTGGAGTCTACTTGTTATTCCGGTTATTACATCATCTTGGGCGGTCCAGCCAGTCCTAGTTTAGATTGGATCATTCTGTTGTGAGAACAGTTGGGTTTTATTAGAAACTCCAAAATTACAATAGTAGTTCACTTTCGGTTCATAAACTTTTATTTAAGTCAAGCTTTAAATTTTAGAAAGAGATAGCACCAAATCATCTTTTGTTCCAAGTTAGAACATACACTAGTTTATGCCGGTAATTACGTCTCTCTTGGCCGGTTCAACTGGTCCTAGTTTTGATTGAGTCATTGGCTCCGAATGGAGAACGCAAATCATAAAATGCATATCAAACAGAACAAATGCAGATCATGCAAATCAAACTAAACAAATACAAATCAAATTAATTTAATAAATTATTATATTTAAATAAATTTTAAATATTTTTAATTAAATTAAATCTCTAAACAAATACAACTTATTATAAATAAATAAGTAATAAATATCAAATTGATACAAATAACAATAGATATCATAATTTTAATAAATATACTGAAATTTTATACTATATAAAAATTCATTATAAATAAAAATTATAAATAGTATTCTTGTTTTGCACTTAAATTTAATATTTTACTCAATTTTTGGTTCTTTCCTATCATTTCGTTAAACTAAGAAACGAATAGTGTATCAACAAAATCTTCATTTAAAAATTTAAAATGTAAAAACAACCTGAAAATACCAAACAACATAGATATATTCATTAGACTATGTTATATAAAATATTAGAAAATAAAATTTATAAACAAGTATTAATTATGTTAACTACATACTTATTATCAAGAAAAAAATAAAATCTAATATATCTTTTTCTATCAATATAAATATTATTTATGTTTTTAGTGTTGCAAAAATAGATAATACAAAATAATATGTATATCTAGTTACTGAAAACATAATATATAAAATTATGAATATGCTAAATGAATATAATTTTATGTAAATAGTTTATAAAATTATTTATATTCTATAGAATAAATTTGTTTCAAAATCAATTATTTTATAAACAAAATATTCAATTTTATTTTTAAGGATTGAGTTATTTAGTTTGAAAGTGAATAACATGAATTAATAAAGTAAGCTCTCTATTAATAATTAATAGTCAAAATAAATAGATTTATATTTTTGGTCTGCAAATGTCCAGCTCATTTTTCTACTTATTTGCAGATCAAAATTTCTATGTGTAATTTAAATCTCTATGCAGATTTTTAATTTTTTAATCATTTATTTTTGTTCTGCAAAAAAAGTGTTAAATGGCAAATAAATGCAGAACAAACTGCATTATAGTAGGACTGCAATAATTCTGCATTTTTTCCTGCATTTCATTCAGAGTCATTCTTTTGTGAGAATAATTGGATTTCATTGGAAACTCCAAAATTACAATAATGGTTCAGTGCATAAACTTTTCTTTTATCGTAAGGCTTTAAATTCTATAAATATCCTAAGATAGCACGAAAACATATTTTTATTCCAAACAAAACACTGATCCTTCTATATATTTAGGGCTTTTTGCAGAATTGACCTGAAACTTGAAGTCAACCACAAAACTAACCTCCCTTTTTTTTGGAACTTTATTTTGCCCAATTCACCCCACAAGTTCATATAATTCACGAAAATGCCATCAAATTTTTTTTTTTTTTTGGTTTCGAAAATAACATATTTACTCTCTCACCCTCATCATCTTCAAGTAATTAC